GGAGCATGGGAACTATTTGAGAGAATGGCTACAACTTTAGCCATGTGGTCTACAGATCGAGTGGCTCAGAAGAGAATGTCGGGGGTTTTATGAAGTAGATACATACTCAGCATTATCCGCATAGATAGACTCCTTGTTCCATAAGGTTGAGAGCATTTCACAGACCGCCAATGAAAAACAAGTCAAGAAGCCAGGCTGTGAAGAATGTGGAGCAGATCACAATACTGTCAACTGCCCAATTCTCACACAGGGGATCGAACATGCAGATTTTGTGCAATGGGGGTCAATGCCAACAGAACAATCCACATTCAGAAACTTTCAATCAGGGCTGGAGAAAACACCCAAACTTCTCATGGAGTAACCAAAATCAAAACAGACCACAAAGTCAATTTCAGCAACAAGATAAAAAGCCACCATTGGAAGAGATGTTTGAGAAGTTCATGGCAACGACTAATCAGTGCATGAAGGCCAACAACCAGTTTATGCGAAAGACAGACGCAACTCTCCAAGATCAAAGTGCTACAATAAAAAATTTGAAGACGCAAATGGGACAGATGACAATCTCCCTGATAGGTAAAGCACGAGAAAACCTACCCAACAACACTAAAATCAATCCTAAGGAGCACAAAAAAGCTATAACAACAAGAAGTGGAGTACAACTACCGGAGACACATGTAAAAAGACCGGTAGTTAGCAAGAAATCAGCGCCTACCTCAGATGACGAGATTGTGGAATAGACTGAACAAACAACAGAGAATGTTGCCAAGAAGAGTTCCGATACATCATGAGTTACAGTTACCAATTCTATCAACCCTCATAAGCCACCTATTCCATTCTCGTAGAGGTTGAAAAAGCACAAATTGGATTAGCAATATTGTAAATTTCTTGAAGTTTTCAAGAAACTACACATCAACATCCCATTTGCTGAGGCACCTGTTCAGATGCCGAGTTATGCAAAATTTCTAAAGGATATTCTCTCTAACAAGCAAAAGATAGAAGAAAATGAAACAGTGATGCTAACTGAGGAATGCAATGCCAGAATTCAGAGAAAGCTACCTCCAAAACTAAAGGATCCAGGGAGTTTTACTGTGCCTTGCACTATTGAAAATTGTCATTTTGATAAAGCTTTGTGTGATTTAGGTGCAAGTATTAATTTGATGCCTCTCTCTGTGTCTAGAAAACTCGATTTGGGAGAAGCTAAAGCCACAACAGTGACCCTACAGTTAGCAGATCGATCCCTTACATATCCAAGAGGGATCATTGAAGATGTATTGGTAAAAGTAGAAAAATTTATATTTCCAGCAGATTTTCTCATTTTAGACATGGAGGACGATAAGGATGTTCCACTCATATTAGGGCGACCTTTCTTAACTATTGGAAGAGTCACCATCGATGTTCAGAAATGACAGCTTATATTGAGGCCTGACGAAGAACAGATCTCTTTCAACGTGTTCAAGGTAATGAGATTT